TGATGCAAGCAGTCTTAATCAGCACCTGGAATTTGGGGTCCGTCACTTTGCCCTCCCTGCTTTTTCAAAGCTGAAAGATGCTGAGCTCAGGGCTCAGGTGGCTTCGCGAGCCCGCGAGGGCCCTTCCTGCCCTGCCACCTCCCACCCAGCTGCCCACCACCTTGGCCACCTGGCCACCGATGCCTGGCGGGCGGGCAGCGTAGCCCGTTTCCTCACTGCAGAGTGAAGGCGCAGGCGCAAACACCCCACTTCACAGCAGCCCAGCCTGTCCATGGGGCTTCCCAGGTGGCGCTAGTGGTAAAGAACCCACCTGCCAATGCAGGGGACCTAAGAGACATGGGTCGGGAAGATCCCTTAGAGAAGGAAATGGCACCCCACTCCAGTGTTCTCACCTGGAGCACCCCACGGACAGAGGAGCCTGCTGGGCTACAGTCCATGGGATTGCAGAGTTGGACACGACTGAAGTGACTCACACACAGCCTGTCCACTGGCTCGAATGTGCAGTGACCCTTGGGGTGGGGGCCAGGGTTCCTGGCAGAGCCCCACACCACCCTGACGCCCACCCAAGGGATCAGATGTCTTGTGCCCAGAACAAGGCCACTCCGGGGGTCACAGACATCAGTGCCTCAGTGGGAAGGCATGGTGAGGGGGGCTCCATGCACCTGATGCTGAGGGGGGCATGCGAGCACCTCAAGTCCTTCCTCATTAAAACACACCATTCCCGGGGCTCCCCTGGTGGTCCAGTGGGTAAGACTCTGCACTCCCAATGCAAGGGGCCCAGGTTCATGCCCCGGTCAGGGAAGTAGATCCCACATGTCACAACTAAAGATCCTGAGAGCCACAACTAAGACCCAGTGCAGCCAGACAAATGGAGAAAGTGAATGCTAGCACACACACACATGCACACGCACACACACATGCACGCACACACACACACGCACGCGCACACACACAGACCACACACACATGCACACGCACGCTGTTCCCCTCAGACAGCACAGACTGGCTGTGTAGCCAGGGTCAGGGCAGCCTGCAGCCTGTCTGCAGCTCCTCCCCTCCTGGAGGCTCTGCCCATCCAGGACCCTCTCGCCCCTGCCGCCAGCCGGGCGCCCTCCCCCTTCCCAGCACAGGTGGGCACTGGCAGCTGGGACCCCAATCCAGCAGCCACTGGCGAGCAGCTGTGGGGTTTCTGGTGCGGACGGTGGGGGTGAACCATGGCTGAACCATGGGAGCCAGAGCGGAGGCAGGTCTGACCACCCCTGCGGGTGGAGCTAGGCCTGCTGGAGGCCCCCTGGGAAGCCCCTCCCAGCTTAGGCCACAGAGCTGCCCCTCCCCGCTCCAGAAAAGGATACACTGTAGGCGATGTATCTACAGTCTCCTGGCAGAAGGGGGATGAAGACCCCGAAGGTCGTGAAGGCCAGAATCAGGAACAGGGTCCAGGCCATGATCTGGAAGGGATGCAATGGCCGCGACCAGCCGTTCACCCTGGACAGGCGGGGCGGCGACACCTTCGTGCTCCTACTGGACGCAGCTTCTGGGAGGACCCGCCTCGACCTTCTGGCGCAGAAGGCCATCTGCAAGACAGCAGGGGGCACAGGGGACCGTGGGCGCCTGTCCACAGCTCAACAAGCAGTTTCAGTGTGTGTGTGGTCCCCGGGCACCCCCACCTCTGCCGGGACCCCAGGGCAGGCAGTTACCAGTCCTTCATGACTGGCGGGCCACTTACAGTGATGGTCTGCTAGTCACTTTACAAATGCACACACCTCAGAAAATCAGAAAATCCATGGATGTGGGGGACCCACATGAAGAAGAGGTCCACATTCCAGGGAAAGCCCAGAGCAGAAGCAAAAGGCAGCTGGAGCCAGGGCAGTCAGACGCTTTCTCCCACCAGAAACCCTGCCTGTTTCCCCAGGGCAGGAGGGCCTCACGGCCAGGGTCCTGGCCCAGGGGTGGGCCCTCCAGGGGTGGGAGGGAACTGGGCCGTCTGGTGGGCAGGCCCACCAGGAACGGTAGGGATGTGTCCTGGGGAGGCCATGGGGTGTTTGCGGCTGTTGGAGGGTAACACTGTTAACAGCTACTACAGGTGGAACTTGGGGGAGTTTAGAAGACCCTGTGCACAGCCTCCAGGGTCTCTTCAGAAAGAAACACACAGCAAGTGTAGCTGACAGGAGTTGGCTACTTTAGGGAGAGACAGAAACATTGAAAACTATTCCGACTTTTGTGTGAGCTGGGACTCCCGGGGTGGGGGCGGGGAGATGTCCGAAGGGCAGAGCTCAGCTGCTGCCTCTGCGGGCCGTCCACCCAGGTCCTCGGATGAGACGCCATGCAGACAGAGGCCACAGCGGCCTGGAGTTTGCAGGGCTCCAGTGAATTGAACAGCACACTTATACAGCAGGACCGAGGTACCTGGGAATTAGAACCCTGAGGGACAGGCATGGAGCTGAAACATGATTCCCAGATAGAAACATGGGATGGAAGGGCTGACATCTCACACCACACAGCAGGCACGCGGAAGGTCGCATCAAGGATTCCTGCAGGTCTTGGAACAGAGGTGTGGGGAAGCGAAGGTTATGAGACTAAACTTCACAGACCACAAAGCTGGAGACACAACAGGATGTTGGTCTGTTAGGGTTTCCAGGCAAGGAAAAGGAAGAGGGTAGAAGAGAAGAAACAAAGAAAAAAGGGAAGCATGTGTGTATTGCAAGGAGACTGAAAACTTCAGCCCTAAATCACATTCCAAGAACCAAGCAGGGAAAAGAGAAATAACCTACAGTGGTGAAGATGGGAGCTCTGAGGACAGAGTCCTCAGTGTCCTGGAAGAAAACAATGGCATCACCTATGACACAATGTAACTGGCACTTATCAAGTTCAAGTGCTGAGTCTCCTGTCCTGAGATGAGCAGCCAGGCTGTCACGCAGGCGGGACAGAAGGAGAGGCCTCGGGGCATGCAGGGGCACCTGCTCACTTTTTCAGATCCGAGATGCACCCCGAAACACCAGGCACCTCACATCCAGGCTTGGGGGGGAGGCAGTGTGTCTGCGTGAAAGCCAGAGCCCACAGCGCTGGCCGCGCTGGGACACGGGGAGCCCGGCCACCCGCACCGACCCGGGGTGCCTGCAGGCAGACCTGGCCGGTTGTGGCTGCAGACCTTCCCCTCGGCTCTGCGCTGGGACATCGGGGGTCCCTGCACTGGTTCTGATGCTGCGGACCTGGGGAGGGCGGACGGGCTGGGAGGGCTGGACCTCTTGCCCCTGCCCCTCCTGGGCAGCAACCCACCAGGGGGCAGGGGCCCTGGGGGTCAGGGCAAGAGGGGGTCAGGGCCCCGGGGTTGGGAGAGCTCGTCCACCTCGATGCACCGTGGCCGTGCCCGCCCTCCTCCCGGGACACTCACAGGCGCCCTGCCCTGCTGTCCAACTCCGACCCTGACTGGCCACGGCTCATCCTCCCCAGGTCTCGACTCCACACACTTCCTGCCAGGCGCGCTAAGAGGAGGCTCAGCCAAGCACCCGGGGCGGGTGGCAGTCCACGGCCACCACCGCCGCCACCACTGCCGCCATCACCATACCCCCACAACTGCCGCCATCACTGCTCCCCCATNGGGACACAAAGCACACACAGGCACACACACACACAGGCACACACACAGGCACACACACACACAGGCACACACACACGGGCACACACACAGGCACACACACACAGGCACACACACGGGACACAAAGCACACACAGGCACACACACACACAGGCACACACACAGGCACACACACACACAGGCACACACACACGGGCACACACACAGGCACACACACACAGGCACACACACGGGACACAACACACACACAGGCACACACACACACAGGCACACACACAGGCACACACACACACAGGCACACACACACGGGCACACACACAGGCACACACACACAGGCACACACACGGGACACAAAGCACACACAGGCACACACACACAGGCACACACACGGGCACACAAGGCACACACACACAGGCACACACACGGGCACACAAGGCACACACAGGCGCACACACACAGACACACACACACATCACACATACGTCACACACACACAGCACACACACACACCTCTCACCCCAGGTGCACCCTTCTCAGGTTTCTGGGCTCGTTCCTCACGGCTCAGGCTCTCCTAGACAAGTTCCCGGTCCTGGGCCCTTAGCCCCTCTCTCCCACCCCACAGCTGCCTCTTCCCTTCACGCCTGTCCTGGGGCCACTCCCTCGGGACATCCTGACATCACCAGGGGACAGACCGTTGGGTCGGGCTTGGTACACTGGCCGTGTGGGGTGTGAAGGTGCCCGGGACCCCTTTCTGCTCTATTTTGGTTCTTGTGTCTGGTTTTCCATCATCCCTGAGGCACTGGTCTGTTTGGTGCTGGGACGACCTGTGAGGCATCATCCAACATGAGCACCACTGAGATACGCGGGTTCGAGCCGCCTCTGCCGAGCTGTCCGTAGTGACCAGGGGGGCGGGCAGCAGGGCTATCCCAGGTCTTCCCCCAGCCCGTCAGCAGTGTGGACAGGGCCCCTTCCCCTCCCCGATCCACACTGCTCCTGTCCTCCCCAGGAGAGGCGTCTGGGCACCACCACGACCTCTGAATGCGGCGCAGACCCGGGCCACTCCTGAACCCTGGTATGCTCATGTCCTGACGACCCTGGACTCTGCGGATGGATGTCCGGGAGGCCCACTTTGAGGGCCTGGGCAGAGCTGACGGAGGGTGAGGAACCCACCTCCCTCACAGCCAGAAGGCGCAGCCACAACAAGCACTGAGCACTCTCTCCTCGGGCACACTCTCCTCCTCTCCGTTCTCAGGTCCTGGGTGAGCTGGGGACGCACAGGTACCTCTCACTCAGCCCAGGCCCAAATGAGAGACTGGCCTCCTGGCAACACTAACAGTGGCCCCAGATGCATCATAAAGGCGGCCCCGCCCCCAGGGACGCATCACCGACAGTGGGGGAGGGGCAGGCCAAGGGGGTCCCCAGGGGACCCTCACCACCGGCCCCTGAGCCTGGAGAACTTCAACCTTCGGTGAAAAGGCAGGGGTTTCTGCCCCTGACCTACTGCCTCAGTAATTTTGGGCTGGAGGTGGCCAAGCTGTCCATTCCCAACCTCATCCTCACACTTGACCCTGGAGCCGAGATGCCGGGCTCTGTCTAGGGTTGTGGGCACCTCTGTCTGGGCTTGACCAGCGCCCACCCCCGCCCCCGCCCCCGGCTGACCCCGTTGGCTGCAGAAGGGCCACAGTAGATGGTGAGTGGGGAGTGCAGGCACGTGGACACCATGGCAAGTGGGTGGCTTACCCCACACGGACGGCCAGCTCCTGTCTTGGGGTCTCCCGCCATCCGCTTTGCCCCAGTCTTGGTTTATAAGCTCAAGAAACACCTGGTCCTCAGTGTGGGGTCCAAGGACTCCGATCTGATGTGGCGGATTCCGGTCTCAATCCTCCCCAGGGGAAGGCAGGTGGATGGGGATGTGTCCCCCTCCGTCCAGAGGCGGCATCCTGTGGCCTCCTGCCTCCCTGAGTCGTCACCGCTCTGGGCACCGTCAGTGATGGAAGGAAGGCTGGCTTCCTCCAGGCAGTGTGCCAGCCGTGCTGCCTGAGGCCCGTGGGGATCAGAGGTTGGCCTCCCCTGGTCCTCTGGGCCTGGTCTGGGTGGACAGGCATGAAGGAGGAGCCAGCAGGTTGCAGGCAGTGGGGTGGGTGGGAGGCTGGTGAGGAGGGGGCTCCTCCGGCCTCGGGGCCTCCCGCGGGGCAGGGCTGGTCAGGCCAACTCTGCTCCCTCAACTGCCCAGCCTCAACCTCCCACTCACTGGCTTCTGTTTCCTCACACACGGTCGGCCCAACAGCACTGTCCCGGAGCAAAGCACCCCCTGGGTGACGGGGACGCTTCTTCCAAAACTCCAGCTGACCACAGGTGGACAGGCATGCGAGAGCCTGGGGTCACAGCTGGGAGCCCCAGGGGATGAGGGGTCTGGTACCTGCCTCCAGGGCCCCTGCACACAGTGCCCGCCCAGGGGTAGGCCTGAGAGCAGGAACCTCCACCAGAAGGTACTTCCAGGGAGGCAGGCGGCTCCAACCGCTGTCCATGGTGCTGCCCAGAGCCCAGAGGTGCCAAGGAGATCCAGGATGGAAAATCAGGCACCCAACCAGGGTCTGACCCCAAGACGCAGGGTCTGACCCCACGACCCAGCCCACAGGCAGCAGAGGCCTCAGAGACGCCGGAGCTTCGATCCCTGGAGACTAAAAGCAGAGCTCAACCGCTGCAAGAAGAGCACGAGGCCTGCATCCCACTCTCCCCCTCAGGGGCCAGGCCCGGGGATCCCGGCAGACTGAGCTCAGCTGGCAGAGCGGCCCACCCACGTGCTCCTCCTCTGCAGGGCCGGGCTCGGGGGTCCCGGACACCACGGCTCCCGATCACAGCAGGCACCGCCAGGCTGCAGGTGTGTCTTCACATGCCCTGGGAAGTGCGCTCTGGTTAAGATGATCGTCATCACGGCCTCCTGCACAGAACACACTTCTCCAGAAACATGTATGTGCAGCCACGGCTAGCGCACCGCGGACCCCAGCCCCTCACTCATGGGACTTTGGGGGATGGTGAGCTCAGTCACCCACAGGCGGTGCCACCAGGGCTACCCAGAGGCCAGGGAGCTTCCGGAGGCTCCAAACTTCTGTTTCAAGGCAGGAAAACAGCAGGGAGTTGTGTGGGAGCGGATGTGACCCTGGACACCACTCAGGTGCCTAGAGCCGGGCCAGAGGCGGGGGAGACAGCACCAGGAAGAAGGTAGGCCATCAATCTGAGTGAGAAGTGAAGGCTCTTCACTGAAGTCACTCAACAGGGGACACCTGGCCGGGTTGTAAATAATGCACGCAACAACGCTGTGTTTCTTTTTATTAAGATCTGTATTTACAATCTGCAGATACAAACAGGCATCCAGTAAACACATCCAGAACAAAGCAATTTCTGACACGTGATCCACAGCTGCAGCCACAAGACGGCCCACTGCCCAGCAGAGCTCCCCACGTGGCGCCCCCCATGACCTGCCCCAGAAGTGTGGGGACGCAGGCTCGGTGGGGTGGGATACACACAGGACTCACCCACGTCTGCTCCCCGAGGACGCAGACTGAACAGTGTGTTTACACGGGCACCGAGAGGGACGTCCCCGCCACCTAGCAGCCCAGAGACAGACCACGCCGGTTTCACAAAATCTGCTCACACACCCTTTATAAGTGACGTCCACCCCAGGATGCAAAGGGCTGTCCATGGATACCCCACATCTGAGTGCGGCAGGCATGATCGCAGACAACTCACCAGCTCCCCGGGGCTGCTCCCGCAGGCCGAAGGAGACAAGATGAAGTTTTTGTCTCGTGACAAAAACTCTACATGCAAATAAAAACTGAGAAGCACAAAACCACCGAAGACTGCCTGCAGGCTAGGCCTTTGTGGAGGCTGCAGGCTCCGGAGACTGCAGGAACTCATACGGGTCGTGGGCTGCCTCCTGCTGCTCCCCAACGCTGAGGCGAGAAGGGCTCCCTGCAGTGACGGGAGGGGGACACGTCAGCCCAGCGCTTAACCCCACTCCGCCCAGGAGGCCCGGCTGGACATGTGTCCTGGGGCTGCAGCCAACTGAGCCCACAGCTCAGCCAGAGCCCTGGACCCAGAGCAGAGACCACCCAAGGGCCCCAGGGAGCCGTGGCCGAGCCTCCACGCAGCAGGGCTGTCAATCCTGCAGGAAGGCAGCTCCTGGGCTGGGGGTCCTCGGACACCCCCAGACACCAAGGAGCCCCAGGGTCACCCTGAGTCCACCAGGACCTTGGGATCCTCGGACAGTCCAGACCTCAAAGAGTTCCAGGGTCACCCTGAGTCCACCAGAACCTCAGGATCTTCAGACATCCCCAAACCCCGAGGAGCCCCAGGATCACCCTGAGTCCATCAGAGCCTCAGGATATTCAGACACCCCCAGACCCCAAGAAGTCCCAGGTCACCCTGAGTCCACCAGGACCCCATCGGGCTGCTCAGATACCCCCAGACCCTGAGGAGCCCCAGCGTCACCCTGAGTCCACCAGGACCTTGGGATCCTTATAGCTGGGAGCCACCCCAGAGTCACCTGGGACCTCTTCACAGGCTTTTATCACCAGGTTAACGGGACCAAAATGCTGGTCCTCTACTTGGACAGCTTCAGCCAATGGTCTGCAGCTCCCCTCCCTTCCCCCAAACGTCAAGACATGCATAAAGGGAAGTTCAATGCTTGGGTCTGGAGCTGACGCAGGAACATGAGAACATGAACAGCGTGCTCAAGGGGCCAGCAGACGATGTCCGCTCCCATCCTGGCGGAGTCGAAACCCACCACCCACCCACCCTCACGTGCCAATGGGGGCTCCCAACCAAGGATGGCGGTGTGACCCTCCCACCGAGGACCGCGTGGTCTGTCCCATTCCCCCCCCAACACCAAGGACCCTGAGGTCTGTCCCGTGACCCCCACCCCCGAGGGCCCCGAGGTCGCCCCCCGCAACCGAGGGCCCTGCAGGAGCACCGCGCTGCCCACGCGGCTTCAGGACCGGAAGCAGGAAGAAGCCAACGTCCCCTCCTCAATGACACTGTGGCGTCCACGGCCTGGATGTGACCAGCGGGAGCTCTTCCCGACATGGACCCAGCTTCATCTTCAGGCCAAACCCCCAGGTTCACAAGACTTGGTTCCACCCAAACCCCTCCCTCAGTGCAGCCGCCCGACCAGAGTCCTTGTGGGGGCCTGCAGCGGCCCCGGACCCGGCCCGGCCCGCTGCTCCTGCCCTACCGGCTCCCGCAGGGGCGCCCACGTCCGGCGCGCGGCGGGCCTCACCCAGATGGTGCTGGTCCCGGTCGGAGGCGTTGGACAGCGAGCTGAGGTTGGACGAGGGCCGAGAGCCCCCGCGCTCCGCCTGCGCCTCCTGCAGGTCCTGGAGGAGCTTCGTCGTCTCGTCCAGGCTCAGGTGCCCGTCCTCCGGGTCCAGCTCCTTCTTCACCTTCCCTGTGGACACAGACGACGGGGCTGGGCCAGGCTCGGGCCACCACCGCCTCGCGAGGGGAGTGGCGCGCGCCGGACAACAGGCCCCACCCCCGAAGGGCCGGCGGGGCCCTGCCCCTCGCGGTGGGGCCCCGCCCCTCGCAGCGGGGCCGCCTTCCCCTGCGCCGAGTGGCTCCCCGCCCTGGGGAGGTGAGAGAACACCCGACGGGGCCCCAGCCTACGGCAGGCGGCACCAGAACAGGCGGGGAGCAGGCAGGAACAGCCCCAGGGGACATCGCAAACGAGAGCGAGGCGGCGACCAGGACCCACTGCACACGCAGAAGGCAAAGGACACGTCAAGGGAGGAGAGGGGAGAAGCAGGAAAAGCTGGGGGCCAATAACCCGGCGCCTGCAGGGCCGTGTCCCCCGGCTGGAAACCAGCGGAGAGAAAGTGCCCCAAGGCAGATGGGCAGGATCAGGCCCAGGTGAGGGCGGGACAAACTACAGTCAGACTCCCCCCGTTCAAGAAAAACCCCCGGGCCCAGGCACAGCAAAGACAGGAGCCTAAGAACAGACCCGAAAGAGAGCCAAGGGGCTGGTGACAACCCCACTACTGACAGAAAAAGGAGGAGACAGCAGCCTTGGCGGAGGGAGGGCCAGTCGGAGGCAGGGTGGCCCTCGGCTGCACCCGAGCGAGAGGGGCCGCCAGGCCCACAGTGAGCTTCCTGCCGGACCCCTGCCTGCTGTGCGCCTGGGGATGTGCTGACAGAGGGTGCCCAGGGGCCACGCTTGCTGCCAGGGACTCTGTGGGAACAGAGCTCTGCAAACTGACACTGGTTCCCGCAGCACCTCCTCCCCCAGCACGCCTCCCTGGAGGACCCTGGTCTGTCTTTCCGCTGGGACAAGCCACAAGCGTGACCACTGCAGACTCCATGTGTCCGCAGGTCTGAAGGGGCTGAAGGGCCGGGCCCACACGCAGGGCCAAGAGCAGAGGGCCCTCCTGGGAGTCAGGGTGGGCTGGGGCACACGGAGCGATGGTGGCGAGCACGGCAGGAGCTCCCCACTGCCCACCGGACCAGGGGACCCAGGGATGGGGCCAGAGGTCAGAGAGGAAAGCCTGGCGAGCCCAACTGGGAGCCACTGGGGGTCCTAAGGAAGGGGGTGGGGGGGGTCCTGAGG